AGATTTATCCACCTTTATGTATTTTAAGCCATCCAGCCCCTCCTTCTCTGTAAAATGGACATTTTCAAGAGGTCGCTATTTGTTTCCCCATGTTCTCTATCTTTCAGAGATAGTAGGAACTGCCGATGCTGGCGAATCTGAGACAACAAGGTGTAGAGCTGGATGAACACAGCAGGCCAAGCAGCATCAGAGGAGCAGGAAAGCTGACGTTTCGGGTCTAGACCCTTCTTCAGAAATGGGGGAGGGGAAGGGGATTCTGAAATAAATAGGGAGAAAGGGGGAGGCGGATAGATGGATAAAGGAGAAGATAGGTGGAGACGAGACAGACAGGTCAAGGAGGCGGGGTTGGAGCCAGTAAAGGTGAGTGTAGGTGGGGAGTTAGGGAGGGGATAGGTTGGTCCTTCTCCACAGTAAACACTGATGCAAAATATTCATTTAGTATCTCCCCCATCTCCTGCGGTTCCACACATATGTGGCCTTGCTGATTTTTAAGGGGCCCTATTCTCTCCCTAGTTATCCTTTTGTCCTTAATGTATTAATGGAATCCCTCTGGATTCTTCTTAACTTTATTTGCCAAAGCTATCTCATGTCACCTTTTTGCCCTCCTGATTTCCCTCTTAAATATAGTCCAACTGTCTTTATACTCTTCTAGGGAATCACCCGATTTCTGCTGTCTGTACTCACATATGCTTACTTCTTATTCTTGACTGAAACACTCACATTCTCTGGTCAGCTTGCATTCCCTACACCTACCAGCCTTGCCCTTCACCCTAACAGGAACATACTGTCTTTGGAGTCTCATTATCTCATTTTTGAAGGCTTCCCATTTTCTACCCGTCCCTTTACCTGTGAACATCCGCCCCCAATCAACTTTTCAAAGTTTTTGCCTACTACCATCAAAATTGGCCTTCCTCCAGTTTAGAACTTTAACTTTTAGATCCTGTCTATCCTTTTCCATCACTATTTTAAAACTAATAGAATTACGGTCACTGACCCCAAAGTGCTCCCCCATTGATACCTCAGTCACCTGCCCTGCCATATTTCCCAAGAGTAGGTCAAATTTTGCACCTTCTCTAGTAAATACATCCACATACTGAATCAGAAGATTTTCTTGTACACACTTAACAAAAGCCTCTCCACCCAAACCCTCAACACTATAGCAGTCCCAGTCTATGTCTGGAAAGTTAAAATCCCCTACCATAACCACCCTATTATTCTTACAGATAACTGAGATCTCCTTACAAATTAGTTTCTGAATTTCTCGCTGACTAATGTGAGGGTCTGTAGTACAATCCCAATAAGGTGATCATCCCTTTCTTATCACCACGCTTTGAGTGAAAAACTAGCCTCGCACATCTCATTTAAATGTTGCCCCAGCATACCTTGAACCTGTGTCCCCTAGTAATTGACCTCTCCACTCTGGGAAAAGCCTCATACTTTCCACTCTATCCATAGCATTCACAATCTTATAAACTTCTATCAGGTCACTCCTCAATCTTTTGCATTCCAGTGAAATCAAACCCAGTCTGTCCAACCTTTCTACCAGCCAAAATCCCCCATACCAGGCAACATCCTGGTAAACCTTTTCTGTGCCCTCTCCAAAGCATCTACATCCTTCTGGTTTTGTGGTGCACTGCCGCCTTCAGTGATCTGTGGATCTGCATACCCAGATGCCTGCGCAAGTCAATACTCTCAAGGGTTCTGCTATGCACTGTATAATTTCCACCTGTACTTGATCTTCCAAAATGCATCACCTCACATTTGTCCAGATTAAACTCCATCTGCCATGCCTCCAACTGATCTATATCCTGCTGTGTCCTCTGACAATCCTCCTCACTATCCACCAATCTTTGTATCATCTGCAAACTTACCAATTAGACCAGCTATGTTTTCCTCCAAATCCTTTATGCAGACCATGAACAGCAAAAGTCCTGGCATTGATCCCTGTGGAACACTACTAGTCACAGCCCTCCATTCTGAAAAGCATCCTTCCACTGCTATCCTCTGTCTGCTATGACTAAGCCAGTTCTATAATCATCTTGCCAGCTCACCCGTGATACCATGTGACTTCATCTTTGGTACCAGTCTGACATGAGGGACCTTATCAAAGGCTTTACTGCAGTCTTTGTAGACAAGATTAACCACTTTTCCCTCATCAATTAGCTTTGTCACGTCCTCAAAAAACTCAATCAAGTTAATAAGGCATGACCTCCCCCTTACAAAACTCTGCTGTCTATTACTAATAAGTCAGTTTGCTTCTAATGCGTATCGATCTTATCTTTGAGAATCTTTTCCAATAATTTCTCTACCACTGACATGAGGCTCCCAGGCCTGTAATTTCCTGGATCATCCTGCTACCCTTATTAAACAATAGGGCAACATTGGCTATTGTTCAGTCCTCTGGGACCTCACCTGTGGCCAAAGTGGATACAAAGATGCCTGTCAATGCTCTAGCAATTTGTCCTCTTGCCTCCCTCAATATTCTGGGATAGATCCCATCAGGACCTAGCAACTTATCTTCCTCAATAATTTTTAAAGACACACAACACCTCTTCCTTTTTAATAGCAACTTGGCTTTGAAATTCAACACTCCCTTCCATGAAATCATCCTCCACCAATTCCTTCTTTTTGGTGAATACTGACACAAAGTATTTGTTTAAGATTTCATCTACCTCTTCTGGCTCCACACATAGATTCTCTCCTTTGTCCTTGAGTGGGCCAACTCTTTCCCTGGCTACCCGCTTGCTTTTTATATATGTGTAAAAAGCCTTGGGATTCTCCATAATCCTGTTTGCCAATGACTTTTTATGACCCCTTTTAGTCCTTCTAATTCCTTGTTTAAATTCTTTCCTATTTTCCTTATATATTTCAAGGGCTTCATCAGTTCCCATCCTCTAGACCTACTTATGCTTCTTTTTTTCTTTGTGACTGAGGTCATAACATCCCTGGTCATCCAAGGTTCACATAACTTGCCATAACTATCCTTCATTCTTGCAGGAACGTGCCACTCCTGAACTCTTATCAACTGCCGTTTGAAATACTTCCACATGTCCAATGTGGATTTACCTTCCAATAACCACCTCCAATCAAAATTCTCCAGTTCCTGCCTGATATTGTTGTAGTTCACCTTCCCCAGTTTAACACCTTCACCCGAGGACTACTGTTATTCCTATCCATGACTATCCTTAAAACTCACTGTATTATAGTCACTACTCCTGAAATGCTCCCCCACTGAAACTTCACTCACCTTGTAACTCATATGCTTCACTTGCCACATTTTCTAATGACAAAAACAGTTGTAATTCCTGTTTGAAGTCTAGATGGGCTTCAGCTGGTTGGTGTGTTTGCATGGTTTCCTCAATAATCCTATATACCAAATGGTCTCTCAGTAACTCATTAAGGGCTAAAAGTCACAAAGCCAGTCATCTTAATGTTGCCAAATATCCCGACATGGATTCTCCTGGTTCTCAAACTGCCAAGTAAAACTGATAGTGTCTCAGAATTAAAGGAGGCTTGGGGCTGTAACATTCCTTAACTTAATTTGCCAACTCTTGAAGGTTTTAGTATCTGATACCCCAGGAAATGTTAGACTCCTATTACCCGAGAAAGCTGCATATTCACAAGCTATCAGGAAAATTACTCTTTGCTTTTCATCTACCCTAATACCATTTGCCTGGAAAGAATAACACATTCCTTCCACACACTAGGCCCAGAGTCTAATGGCAAGATCGAATGAGTCAAGGTTCCCAAATAACGGCATGATGCCAGAAATGTTTACCCCAACTCAAAGATGACTGTTATGAGTGAATTTCTTCAGGAGGGATGTTTTGTCTTGTAGCCACTGAAATAACTCCACAGAGACCGGTATCCTGTCACCAAGTCATTCTTTTATTGTATGTGCATGGTACTTGACACTGATCCAGCTTCCTCAGAGCGAACAGAACATCTGACATTCCTGTTTATAATCTGTCAGCCAGGGCTCCCTGATTGCACCAGGTTAACAAGCCCAATCAGGGAATTCGTATTCTATGATGCCCACCTGGCTGAACGTGTTACAATGTTTTCTTTGGTTTTTGAATCTGCAAAGACTATATAAAATCAATTTTCAACCTTTGAATGTACTTGGTATATACTCATTTTTTATGAATAAAGTATATTTTTGAAATAGAATATATTGCACTTTCTTGGTGGCTGCAGAACAGACAAGACTTTGGGTCACATACACAAAACAAGGGGGTGTTATTTAGTTTGTGCAACTATTGTGGATTTGCATAATCAAGTCTGAGTAAGTGGTAAACATATAGACAGAGAAATGCAGCAGAGTTTGAACATCTTCAGTCAATTAGGCTACTATGGAGGCCCGGTCCTGAAGAAGGGTTATACCCGAAACGTTAACAGTTCCTTTCCTCCAGATGCTGCCTGGCTTGCTGTGTTTTTCTAGCCTCCTGTTTGTCTCTATCAAGGCGCAATATTTTGCAGTCAAGTTTTTGGTATAAACGTTTTGAGCACACAGAGTGAGTGAAAACAGGGAACCAACCTGATGAGCAAAACTAAAACCTCTCTGTATTTTTTTAAAAACGCCCTGTCAGCTGGAAGGCACTGCTTCCATCCGCTCGGCACCAGCCGGTCAGTTGGAACCTTGCATTTAAAATCCGCGCGTGCCTCCACGTGCGGATTTCCCGTTTGTGACGTAAAGGAGTATGGCTGTGGGCTTCTTGAAACTGTCGAACCGGAAGAGAAAGCCGGCGCGTTCTGGTCGGGGTGCGAAGGGCGAATGGTTGGAGGGGGAGGGGCCTGAAAACCGTCGAACAGGAAGAGGCTCGCGACACTGTCATTGCGCTCAGTCTGTCGGTGCAGGCGGGCGAGAGTGAGGAGGTTGTGAGAGAGCTGGGGGTGGTGGGGGGCAGCAGAGGGGTGGGAGGGGGATATCTTATTTTTTAAAAAAGGCAAGTTTTTTTTCTTCTGTAGATTATATTTGTGGGGGCAGGGTGGGCGTTTAAAAAAAGTAGGTTGGGGGTGGGGTCGACGTAGGAACATATTTATTATAATGCAATAACCGACAATGTGAGCTAAGCCGGTCGAGGAGGACGGGAGAGAGAAAAAAAAAGCTGATGGTTCTAATTGGATTTTTCTGAGGCGAAAAAGTGGTACTGAAAAAGGCGGTGACTCGACATTTACGTCCCCTTTTTGTAATTGTATGTTTGTGTTTTTTAATATTTAGGAAGGAAACAGAAAAGGAAGGAGGGAGGGTGGGGGAGAATTCGTGCGGCCGTCACTCACGCTCGATGGGGGATTACGGGTTCGGTTTACTAGTGCAGACCAATAATACCAACAGTAAGGTAGCTTTTCCAGTCAGATACCACCAGACTCCTCACCACCACCATCACCATCATCACCAACAGCAGCAGAGCGCCTCCACTGCCGCCGGCTCGCCTTGGTTTTTTCCTGCCCCGGCTCCCCAGACCATGCAGGATGAGCTGCTGCTGTCGGAGAAATCCAAATCCCCACAGCAGCAGCAGCTCTCTCCCCGACTCGATCAAGCCGCTCCTCCTGATCTAGTCCTCCTACCCGACTCTCCCCAACCCGAAGAGGACAATACGAGCGGTGGCGGCGGCAGCAGCAGCAGCAAAGAGAAGCTGAGGATGGAGTCGCCCATCCTGCCGGCTTTCGACTATCACGATCCGCCGCCTCCTCCTCCTCCATCATCTTCCTCGTCGTCCTCATCGGGACTCGGAGGAGCGGGCACGGCGGGGACGCCCTCTCTCACCTCTTCTTCCTCTTCCTCCTCCTCCTCCTCCTCCACCTCCTCCTTGACCGGTTTCAGCAACTGGTCAGCAGCGATGACTCCTCCTACCGTCGGCGAGGACAACTTCTTTCACCAGGGAGTCCCTGCTCCCTCCGCCAACGGGGCTCTGCTCTTCCAAAACTTCCCTCACCACGTCAGCTCGGGCTTCGGGGGCAGCTTCTCTCCTCAGATGGCCCTGTCCCAGCACCACCATGCCCCCCACCACCCACACCACCATCACCATCACCCTCCTCCACCTCCACCCCCACCACCTCCACCACCTCCACCTCCTCACCAGCAGCCGCCCCAGCAACAGCAGCACAGGAGGTCACCTGCCAGCCCGCACCCCGCTCCGTTTCCGCACAGAAATGCTTTCAATCAGCTGCCTCACTTGGCCAACAGCATCAGTAAGCCCCCCTCCCCGTGGAACAGCTACCAAAGCCCGTCGCCCACGTCGTCCTCTTCGTCGTCTTGGAGCTCCGGTGGTGGGGTCGGTGTTTGGGGTGGAAGCCAAGGGAGAGATCACCGCCGAGGGATGACCGGTGGGATGGCAGGCCTCAGCTCCATCTCCCCAATGAAGAAGCCTTTCCCCGGCAACCACATCCCGGTGCACAAGTACTCGAGATCCAGCTCGGCTTTCCCACCAAAGTCTTGGGTGGAAGATAGTATGTTGAGGAGTGATAATATTTTACCGTTTCAGGTAAGCAGTTATTGGAGCCTAATGTATATCTCGATTCAGCTGCAGATTATTAAATGATCGTTGACGAAAGTATGTAAATATATTGTCAACAATGCGGCAACTTGTTGACAGTGGCGGATGAGTAGGTTTCAAATACAAAGGACTGTTTACAGAAAGCTTTAGTAAGAATCCCGAACGTCGTCTTTCATTTTAATTACAGTATCTATAAGTCAAGTAACCATGCTTTGAATTTCTTGCATTCTTCCTAGTCTTTCTTTGCTCTTCCAAATCTGAATTCAAACTGCGATAAAAGAGGCCTGGCGTTTTTTAGTATCGAATGCGTCTTTGATCGCGACCGTTTGCTGTCGGAAGTGTGCGATTCTTTTGCAATAAGAAGTTATTTTTCCTTAAATTTAGGAGACCAGTTCCATTTTGCTTTTTTTTCAAAAAAACTTATAATTAAGAATATTAGAATCTTTGATTCTTTAAATAGACAAATGCATTTCAAAAATGTCTACAAGGGGTGCAGATATTAAACTGTGTAAGGAAAGTGTTGGTTCAGTGCCCCGCATAGCTTTTTAAGTCAAAATAGATACTTTGCATTTTAACTCATAGCAATTTTTAAAAAAATAAACTCTTCGCTTAACATAATATCGATAGACAAAAAGATTTAGTATTTATACAATGTTTTCACATTTTAAACCTTATTACATTTGAACAGTTTTGATATTTTTACGCGAATTTGTTGGTATGTAGATTGGCGATGCACCTCAAAAATTACAATGATTAAGATTACTGAACAAAAACAGAAGTTGCTGGAAAAGCTCAGCAGGGCTTCCTGATGAAGGGTCGCCTGACCCGAAACGTTAATTCTGATTTTTTTTTTTCTTCGCAGACGCTGCCGGACCGGCTGAGCTTTTCCAGCAACTTCTGGTTTTGTTCCAGTTTTACAGCATCCACTGTTCTTTCGGTTTTTATTAAGATTGGCCTACCGGAGACGAATAAACTCAGCAATGTGTGTGAAGGCATGATTGGTTAAATGGATTAATCTGTTACGCAGACATTTGCATTCAGAGCAAACGGTGGTTCTTTTGAGCTTTTAAACATCACATTTAACAAATAGTTGAACCTCTGCAAAATATATAACAAAATAGGCTTGGAATTAATAACAAATCCACAGTGGACTGATGACGTTTTCAGCTGCTGGGTTGTGGTATGACGTCTTATTTTTGAAACCTGTACTATTAAAGCAAATTAAATATCCTATAGCAATTTCTACTTGGTATAGCAAAAATGATTACACTCTTGTTGACTTTGAGGAGATTAATAGTAGCTCTTAAGTATTATTTTGACTTGGGGATATGAAAATGAAGGATACTTCAACACTGTTCCTTTGTCAGGTGAAGTGAAGAAGTTCACTAAGGAGCAAGACTCTGAAAGCTTATAATTTCATATAAACCTGTTGGACTATAACCTGGTGTTGTGTGACTTCTGACTTCAAAATAATACACTGTTAATAGAATAATTTAATATCAGAATATTGACTGCCAATTTATTTTTTTACTGCCAATGGCTTAATTTGCTTTCAGAATTTTAAGTATCTTAATTCTGCAATGAGTCAATCATGGAGATGTACAGCATGGAAACAGACCCTTCGGTCCAACTCGTCTATGCCAACCAGATATCCTAAACTAATCTTGGCCCATTTGCCAGCATTTGGCCTGTATCCCTATTCCTATACCCATCCAGATGCCTTTTAAATGTTGTAATTGTACCAGCCTCCACTACTTCCTCTGGCAGTTATTTCCATACATGCACCCTCTGTGTAGAAAAAGTTGCCCCTTGGGTCCCTTTTACATCTTTCCCCTCTCATCTTAAATCTATGCTGTCTAGTTTCTGACACCCTACCCTGGGGAAAAGACCTTGACTGTTCACCGAATCCATGCCACTCTTGATCTTATAAACTTCTGTAAGGTCACCCCTCAGCCTCTGCTCCAGGAAAAATAGCCCCAGGCTATTCAACCTCTCCCTTTAGTTCAAATGTTCCAATGCGAGCAACATTCTTGTAAATCTTTTCTGAACTCTTTCAAGTTTCACAACACATTTCCTATGGCAGGGAAACCAGAATTGAACGCAGTATTCTAAAAGTGGCCTAACCAATGTCCTTACAAGCTGCAACATTATCACACAACTCCATACTTGGGGCACTGATCAATAAAGGCAAGTGTACCAAACGCCGCCTTCACTACCCTGTCTCCCTGCAATTTCACTTTCAAGGAACCTGCATTCCAAGGTCTATTTGTTCGGCAACACTTTTTTTTGAAAAACTTGCATTATAGTACATTATTTGCATTGAGTATATGAGGTCTCACCTGAACAATAAAGGGAGCATCATAGAGACCAAGTTGCATCATCACTCTGATAATGTTTGTTTTTATTTAATAAGCTTCCAATGCAGTTCTGTAAGTTTGCATTGATTGTTCAGTTGTTTCTTTGCGTTGCCTCACTAAGGGCTGTCTAAACATATAAGTTTTAGCAAAGGCATTTGATTTATGCATTCTCCCGTGGAAGTGCTGTGGAATGGGGCCATTTGAATGTTAGTTGAGTCTGTCAATTCAAGTAGTTTACCAAGGAAGAGCAGGACATTTTTTTTTTTTAAAAACAGAAATCAGTGTTTACCACCTCTTGAAGGCTTTGTCTCTTGCTGGGATCCAAAATTTTGTATAAATGATTAATCATGAGTCAGCAGGTTATTTGTTCGTGGAGGTTGTCACAGGTGAAAGTCCAATGCTTATGTTTGCAATATCACAACAGATGATGCTAGATAGAAATTAGTAAATTGCCAACTTGTTTTATTTAAATAAGATGTAGTCATCTCCTTAGTTTGAGCATTGAGTGTGTGTATTTTCTTTGGCCTGCTTGAGATCAGTTATGTATGTGAGGAATTGAGTCCAGAATTTTCTAGTTTATATGGCTTAGTTGATTTTATTCTGGTTTTATTTCTTGTGGCAGGAAGAATTTTACGTGGAGCATGACAGATTGTATTCGTTCTTTAAATGCCAAAGCTTAACTTGGTAAATAGGAAAGCACACGGATGTAATTAGGGTAAAATATGATTCAGAAAACAGTACTGCACATGCGTGACCTAAACTTTCGGGGGGGAAAAAAACAAAGCTTCTAGTTGAGCAAGTATTTTATAAGGGGCAAAAGCAGAAGTTGCTGGAAAAGCTCAGCAGGTCTGGCAGCATCTGAGAAGAAGAAAAATCAGTGTAATTGTGTCGGGTCTAGTGACCTTCCTCGGGAACATTAACTGATAACTGTTTTCTTCACAGAAGCTAACGTTCCTGAGAAAGGGTCACTAGACCTGAAACATTACTCTGATTTTTTTTTTTCTTCTCAGATGCTGCCAGACCTGCTGAGCTTTTCCAGCAACTTTTTGTTTTTGTTCCTGATTTACAGCATCTGCAGTTCTTTGGGTTTTTATTTTCTAAAAGGGGCAGTTTGTTGGATCAAGAAACCTTTTAACTGAGAAAAGTTGAATAAAGTAGCTTCAGATATTAATTCTTAGGTATTCAGTAATGGTACATAAGCCCCCTTCCTCCCACCCCCGCCCCAACCTGAAGTACTCAGGTAAAGAAACGTACATACTTGTACTAGAAAATAACAAGTCTTTGCCAATTTTATACTTGTCCTCAAACATTTGGAAATATTGGTCATTTAGCCTAGCAATGGTCTTGGGTGAAATGGGTCATCATTTTGCAGAACGTGTTTTTTTTTTTGATCAGAGGTCAGCATTCACCAGCAAGTTGTGCCTTACATATGATTGAAATTGTTTTGATGTTAGACATGCCTGAAGGTTATCTCCTAACTACCCTAAGAAGGAAATGAGGCTTTTCCTCTTAAGGGGTTTTAATGAATGATTCTGCAAAAATCTTTACTAGTTTTATTGTAAATTTAGCTGAGGAAGAAAGGTGAAAAAGCCATAATAGGAAAAAAAGAACTAGCTAGTCCATCACTAAGTAAATGAGCTCTGTTCTGACTCCCTTGATGCCTGCATTTAAGAATACTTGTAAGACTTACTGATGGCTGTAAACTTCAGCCATTTAACGAGGGGATTATAACTTCTAAAGACCATTGATACAGTGAGCAGAATGGCAATGTATATTTTAATGTATGAAAAAAATTTAGTAGAATGGCAAAGTGGATTTGAGTTTGAGTGCCTTTATGAACACAAAGATATTAATAAAATTTGTTCAAAGCCAGGCTTCTGCTAAATATAGTAAAATGTTTGATGTACTGTGTCATTGGAGATCCAACCAGATGTGGGCTCTTGTGTGAAAATTCTTATTCTTTGTACTGCATTCAATGCAGCCTCAAATCTGGTGTTCTTCAGAAATGAATTTCTAAGTTTACAGTGCTAGTGCATTATTTTCTGAAATGTAAAGTTACAGAATAAAATTACCCTGAATAGAGTGACTGAGACTTAGTCAGTTCTGTTGATCAGTCAGCAATGGTTTGAAAGATTGATCATGTATGAACAAGTCAGTTGAATGGTTTTCAAGTCATTACAAGAACTTTGGACAAGGTTGTATCTATAGGTATGAAGTTTTTGGATGTTGGGAAGAAATTCATTAAGATTCCTTCTCTGGAGTTATCAGCAAAAATTAGTGCATTGGATTTTTAGATAATCCTTTGACATGGGAGGTATGAGAAGGAGAATAGGATAAACTGTTCAGTTTCTGGCTGTTGTGACATCATTCTCCCCAGCAATTTATTTTGGACTTGCAACCTGTTCCACAATTTGTTAGATTCTACCTAGAGTTCTGCATTCAAATTTATTTTTTTGACACCAAATCTTTTGGAGAGGTACTGGCTTTGGAAGAAGTGGTCTGCATTGATTAGAATAACATATAATGTATAAAATTATATTGCAAAAATCTTGTTTCCTTGAATGAGTTTGAAGAGTGATCTAGACTGGTTTTTATATGGGTATTTGAGAATTTCTCTATGGGGAGAATCCA